TTCTAAAATAACAAATATACAAAACGAATCTGAATAAACAAAACAAATTCTGAAAGTGAATCATTCTAACATAACAAATGATGAACTGAAATTAATAACTTAACGAACAAATCCCAAGTGAAACAATATTTCCAAATTTTTCTACTTATCAATCCACTTCTATTAACCTCTTCATGCCGAGCATACGCAAATATTCGGCTTCTCAGTGGCTGGGCCTTGACACTGAGCGACCGCATATTTGCGTACCATTTGTAAACAAACATGTGCTGAGAGTGTGTGCCCTGCTTGATCCCAGCATATGTGTCGGCGTCCTTGCAATCGGGACCTTTTCGATCATGTGACCGCCATGACAGCCAATCACTGCTGTCACATGACCCTAAACCTCGCCCTTATTGCCCAGCACTAGAAACCCCTTAAAGGGCCGGGAGGCGCCGTGTGAAGGGGTTAAAGTGGCATTAAACTCGACAATTTTTTTTTTCTTGATGGGCCCCATGATGAAAGCCTTACCTTTCAAAGACGCCCTCCATTACTGAGCTGTCATCGCTGCCAAGTCTTCCTTTTTGGCCAGGTTTCATTTCAGGTTCATACTCTCCATCTATTTAAATGGTGGGGGCCGTGCGTGATGATGTCACTCCTGCACTCGGAGGGCACTCAGTGTGCCCTGAATGCAGAGTGTACTGCGCATGTGCCAGTGACGTCATCGGCTGAAGCTGATATAAGTATCTACTAAACAGTGCAAGTTTATGAGATATTCACGGTACCTACAGGTAAGACTTATTATAAGCTCACCTGTAGGAACAAGTTTAACCACTTGCCTACTGGGCACTTTTTACTGCCCAGGCCAATTTTCAGCTTTTAGCACTGTCGCACTTTGAATGACAATTGCGCGGCCATGCAACACTGTACCCATAGAAAATTTTTATCATTTTTTTCAAACCAATAGTTTTCTTTTGGTGGTATTCAATCACCACTGGGTGTTTCATTTTTTTGCTAAGCAAACGAAAAAAGACCGAAAATTTCTAAAAAACAAAAACTTTTTTATTAGTTTCCATTACAAAATTTTGCAAATAAGTAATTATTCTTCAGAAATTTAGGCCAAACTGTATACTGCTACATTTCTTTAGTGAAAATAACCCAAATAATTATAGATTATTTAGTCTGTAGGAAATTTTACAAACTATGGTATACAGTATATCTGAAAATCAACCAGTCCTGATGTAACGATCTCATTTCTTGAGGCCCAAAACAGTACAGTACATATATCCCTCAAATTACCCCTTTTTGGAAAGTAGTCTGAGGTATTTAGTAAGAGGCATGGCGAGTTTTTTGAAGTTGTAATTTTTTGTCATAATTTTGTGGAAAATGAAGAAATTAAAAAAAATATTCACTTTCATTCATTTCATTTTTTTTTACATACTCTCACCAGTGCAGTTCAGTGTCATCATATAACTGGTGTGGTGGTGATCAGGGACAGTGATTGGTCACAGTACGAAAAAGAAAAAAAAATGTGTTACATTTTTTAAAATTATTTTATTACATTTTTTTTCTTTTTTTTTACGATTTTCTTTTTATAACACACTGTGACCAGAGCCATAGTAACATTGTACTACTCTGGGAAAGCGATTGTTATTTTTTTTTATTTTTTTGCTATAAGCAAGCATTTTACTTAACGAAATCGATTAATTCTATTTGTTTTGTTGTGATTAGCTCTTGTGATTGGCCATTGCTAATCACAGGACACAGATGGGCTGTGATTGGTCCAGTCTATAGCATGTGACTAATCACAGCTAACAACATAATTGTATACAATGGATGACATGAAAGGAAGCCATCCATTATTTACAATTGTCATATGACCTGCTGTAACAGATCACAGCCCCATGGGCGCAGGTGAGACGCCTATATGGGAGGACATCATATGACGTCCACCCAGAGAGGCAAAAATCCCACCCGGCTGTCGTTTTACTATAGGCCGGGTGGGTACTTTTTAAAAACATATAAATTATTTAGGTAGGAATATTACTCACAAAGTTATTGTCACATAACCCACAAGATTAGGGCTTGTTTATAAATCTGTGAATCGGATATTCACATTCACTGCAGATAGATCTTCCTATTGTATGTGTTATAAATGAGTGATTCATCAGTGGTGAATGTTTGGTGAAAGTCACGTTTGCTGCCTTATAAATATATCCCATGATGTTGCTTAGTTTGGCCTCGATGTCTATGGATCAATAACATCTGGTCACAAAAGCTCTAATTAATATTTACTATGCATCATGTGGTCTTTCATTTTCTTCCAGAGACTGTTCTTCAAATTCTTATTGAAGAAATGGAAACACAGCAGAAACCAATCAAAAAGCCTCCCAGGCCCTCCAGGCCCCCCAGGCCTCCACGTACAACTAAACCTCCCATCAAACTAACTATTACTAAGAAACCTTTTACAATGACAACTGTATCACATACTGATCTAACAAAGGCACCAACAGAATCCGACATAGAAGATGATCCTTCTGAAAGGACAAATACTTCAACTGTCATTACTGATGTTCCTACTGTCCAATCGGCTACTACTAAGAAACCTTTTACAATGATAACTGTATCACCTACTGATCTAACAAAGGCACCAACAGAATCCGACATAGAATATGATCCTTCTGAAAGGACAAATACTTCAACTGTCATTACTGATGTTCCTACTGTCCAATCGGCTACTACTAAGAAACCTTTTACAATGATAACTGTATCACCTACTGATCTAACAAAGGCACCAACAGAATCCGACATAGAATATGATCCTTCTGAAAAGACAAATACTTCAACTGTCATTACTGATGTTCCTACTGTTCAATCGGCTATTACTAGGAAATCTTTTACAACAACAACTGTAGCCCCCACTGAGACAGCAAAGGCACCTACAGAACCTGCTGTAACAGAGTGCGACCCAACTGAAAGTTTAAATATTTCAACTTTCATTACCACCCAAACCCTTTCAATGACACCAATAAGGCCTGCAAAAGTCACCATCACTACAACATCACTAACTAACGCTAAAAAGAAGGCTAAGCCAAGTCTTAAGCAGCTAATGCCTACCAAAAGCCCAAAGAAGCCAACAAAGAATATTCTTAAAAAACCATCACCAACTAAACTTTCAACAAGGCCAACTAAGACCAGTGTACGTAAAATCCCACCTACTAAACTGACACCTACCAAGAGACCGACAAAGGATAAGTTTAAAAAACTACCACCAACAAAACATCCAAACAAGCCAATTGAAGGTCATGTCACAAAAGTTCCTCTTACAGAGACTACAATCAAGGACCCACCTGGAACAAAACATACAAAAATGAATAATAGGACAAATTTAAAAATGCTTTTGCCTACAAAGGTGCCTAAGAGGCCAGCTTCAACAAAACTTCCAAAAACTACAAAAAAAGACAGAAAATCAAAACATCCAAAGGGTATTTCAAACAACAATGGCAAAAAATCAGGGAAATCTAAAGATATAAAAGATAAGACCAGAAACCACAAGAAGAAGAAACTCCAATCAGAGTTTTCAGAAGACAGAAATACAGCATTTTCATTGAGAGGAAAGGCAAAGAAACAAAACTCAAATGCACAAGTTGACATAAAGACCGAAGCCATCCAACATTTACCTTTATTTACTTAAAGCAGAACTCAAAAATAACAAGAAAAATATAAATAGCCCATTAAAAGACAAAAAACCAAAAGCATATTTTCTACACTATTTACTTCAATACAGAATTTTCACCTTTACTTTTATTACTGGTGAATGTCCTCAGTTTGATGGCCAGCATCATTCAACCCACTTTCCCTGAGGCCAGGTCATCTTGGGCCAACCCTGGCCTGTTACTGGACAGGGAAAGGGGAAACAGCACCGTGATGAGCTCATCTTTCTGTCTTTCTGCTTTCTCCTCCTATCAGCTCCTATCAACATGTTAGCCCATTGGCTTATTGTGTTGCTTCTTCCTCTCACACTCCTGCCCTGCTGTACAGGGACTGCAAGAGGCTGATACCAAGTAAAATTTCAGTACACTGCTTCTATTTAAAATATATATTTTATGATGTATTATTGATTACTGAGCTGCATTATTTGTGTAATTTTATCTACCTAATGTAGCTTGAGTTTTAAAAACCAGTATACAAACTGGTCATCATAGCCTGGAGTGTGATATTCAATGGTCGCTATTGGTATCAACAGTTGAATTATCATTTTATTTTCATTGTCATCTGTTGTGAGTTATTAAACTGTTGGATAAGTAAGCCAGTCTTCTCTTCCTGGGGATTCCAAGGTACTCCCAAGACAATTCCAACATGTGTCCTGCTAAAGCAGGTTCTTCAGGCTGGAACATGGCTGAAACAGTCCCAAAAGAAGCCTCTTATATGATCCCATGTCCACAAGAAGCCAGTAATTGATACTTGAGGAACTGTATGGAGAACTATATACTGTAGGTGGCTGTACTGTGGAATTGTCTAATCTACACTGGTACTCATGGTCAGTAAAAAAAAGTCTCTGATACCATAAATGACTTTGTCGAAGTAAGCAAGCTATTTCCAGGCTGAAGACCTTGGAGATGGTACAATACAACCCATACGGCTCATTTTTAAATAATGTTTAAAGCTATAGTTTATGTTTTGCTTTATACATTTGAAAATTTTTGCTGCCATGGCTTTGTCTTCATTTTCTACATGATGATCATTTTGTTTTTTTAGAGCCTCAGGGGCATCTGTTTCTGGTTATAGAAAACACAGGGACCACAATCACATATTGGGAAACACAAATTTAAAAAATGGCTTTAAGAGCAATGCAGGAGACCAAAAAGTTAATTTTGATTGTTGCTGATATATAGAGATGAGCGAAGTATTCAAAAATTCGATTCGACTGATTCGGCGAATTCGTGGAAAAATTTCAATTCGAGTCGAATATATTCGCTGTGAATTTAACTTAAAAAAGGGTGTTTCTAGGCTTCAGAGAGACTTAATATTAGTGCAGAACACTGTACCTTTAATTTAAATGCCCTTGGAGTCTGCTGGGGAAGAGAAATAATACTGTCAGTCAGTATGACATGCAGATGAGTGCCGTCGATCTTAGAATCACCGCACACTTCACTCATTTGGGCAGTCACGGGGCCAAAACCAGAGTGTGGAGCCACAGTGTGGCGGTGGAGGCAGCAGCAATGGGAGGCCATACAGCACCCTATGACAAAAATGGAAACCACCAGCAGTGTGAGGAGACCTGAAAGTGGCACATGGCAGAGTGTGGCGATAGAGACAGCAGCAATGGGAGGCCGTACAGGGACCCATGACACACTCTGGACCTGGCAGCAGCATGGGGAGGCGGTACAGGGGCCCATGACAGATTACGGGCCTGGCAGCAGCATGAGGAGTCGGTACGGGGGCCCATGGCAGATTACGGGCCTGGCAGCAGCAATGGGAGGCCGTACAGGGACCCATGACACACTCTGGACCTGGCAGCAGCATGGGGAGGCGGTACAGGGGCCCATGACAGATTACGGGCCTGGCAGCAGCATGAGGAGTCAGTACGGGGGCCCATGACACACTCTGGACCTGGCAGCAGCATGAGGAGGCGGTACAGGGGCGCATGACAGATTACGAGCCTGGCAGCAGCAACTTGGACAGGAGGACGTTCAGCTTCTGCACCGTCGAGGGGTGCGTGCTCGCAAACTGTTGTCTCTTGGAAACGGATTCCAAGAAAGACTGCTGACGGAATTTGTGAAGAGGAGTAGCAGGAGAAGGAGCATCTGAACGAGCGGAATATGCCAACAAGCGACAACAGGGGCCCATGACAGATTACGGGCCTAGGCAGCAGCATGAGGAGTCGGTACGGGGGCCCATGGCAGATTACGGGCCTGGCAGCAGCTATGGGAGGCCCGTAATCTGCCAGCACCGTATGACAAAAAATGGAA